TACTTCTCCACACATCTTTATATGAAGATTCTACATTATGATAAAGATAACCAAATTTAGAACTGTTGTCTTGTCCATCTAAATCGCCAGAAGTAGAATAAACAAAATCTCCAAGTTGAATTCTTAAAGAAATAGAATAATCATTTTCACTTGGAACATCCTTTTGATCATGATAATCACCAGCTAATGGCTTTCCATCAGAAATAACTCCAAGGGCATCAGTAATTACAATTTCAACTGAAGCATCTTCATCTGGAGGATTAATTTGATTACTACATGGAACTGCAATCTCTCTAATACCAGTCATTGCATTTTTAATATTTGAATTAGTAGCATAACACAACCACTTTAAAGCAGTTGAAGAATAAGTTCCAACATTATGCCAATCCACATCTTCTGAATTAAGATTATTACATTCAGTAATTCCACTCTTTATTACACCTGCATCTCTGTCAATAAATTTACCAAAAGTAATTCCTGCTTTTTCCATTAAATACCAAAACCCATTTTTATAAACCATACCAACATGGTCCAAATGAAGGTGTGTTAATACTGCTACATCAACATGACTCTTTCCAAGAATTGCTTTAATTCTTTCAGCTATCATTTTACAATTCATTGACCCAGTCTTCTTCTCTCCGGCATCAACTAAAATTGAATACCCTGATGGAAACACAATTAACTGAGCATCTGCTTGTCCAACATCAAACAAATGAATGTCGAGTCCTTTTTTTGCTTGAGCAAAAGAAAGTAAATATGAAGCAAGTAATAATACTATAATCATCAAATAATTCAAATGATAATTTTTTAGTTTTTTTAAGTTTCTATAAAAATTGGAATCAAAAAGAATTTTAACTTTTTTGAAAATGAACATTCCACGAGATCTTTTTTCTTTGTATTTTTTCATTATAGAATTCTTTTTACTTTCTACACTTGTCAATTTCTTCTTTTTATTACCTGTTTTATTTTGTATTTATTCTTTTTCGATGACGTGTTCCCGTAATAAAAGGAAATAAAAAAGATAAAATATAATTTGATAAATATAACATTTTTATTGATTTGAATTGTTTAATAATTTTCTAAAAAAGATAAAAAAAAATTAAACATCATTTACTTTTTAATATTCCAATGAAGGTTGCTTTTTCTTCTTCTGTCATTTTACCTTCTTTAATTAGTTTATTTATTACAAGTGTAACTTTTTTTATTCGGTTTTCTGTTCTTTCTTTTTTCAATGATTCAAGCCTTTTGTAAGTGTCATTATGTAAATATTTGCATTGACTTTCAATCTTAGAGACTTCTTTGTTGAATTGTGATTCTGAGATTTGATAATCTATAAGTTTATCTTGAAGGGATTCAATTTGTTGTTTCAGTTCATTATAGTTCAAAGGAATTTGAGAAAGCAGATTTTTAAGATTATCAATTGAAGTACAGAGGTCAGTGAATTTCCATAAATCTCCTTGTTTAATTTTTCCATCCTTTGAAATTAAAGGATGGTTCTGGAGAGGTGTTTCTGTTATAACACTGAGCATATTTTCTTGGTCCTTAGAGAAGGAAATGATAAGGACAGAAGATTGATTTAACAACAAAGAACCATAGAGTTGTTCCTTTTCTATAAAAAATGTTATTGGTTCTTCTTGGCTTATCTTTTTAGCCATTTTCATAATGCTTTGTTTAATAGAAAATTTTTGACCAATCTCTTCTAGTTGCATTGTCTAGTTAGTAATTTAAGATGACATATTTTTCATCAAAAAAAAAGAAATAGAAATAAATTATTACGAGAAAGATGAAAAGCATATTTTAAAAATAATACAAAAAGAACTTCAAAATAATTTTTGTCATTTCCTGAAACATAAAAAAATAAAAAATAATAGGAAAAACTAAAAAATCAAGAATAGCAAAAATGACTGCTCAGATGAAGTGGTCTGATAAATTTATGGCATTATTCAATGAACTTGTATTAGAGACGAGTCAAACACAAAATGACATTATAACAAAAAAATTGCATGATTTAGTACTTATTGTAGTAAGAGATCTTCAAGGAGATGGAGTATCTACATTTATTAATGAAATATCATCAAATCTCTTAAGAATTCTTAAAAAACCTGAGGTAAGTGAAAAACAAAATAATGCAATAATTAATCTTGTTGACTTCTTTATTAGTTCAGATATTGATGATTCATATCCACGAACTAATGGTAAAGATATAATTGATTGTATTATGAAATCAAGTAATCAAAATGTAGTTCAAAATGCATCAGTAGTATTAGGAAAAATTATTCGATTAGGACCACATGATTTAGTAGAGAAAGAATTAGACATTGCTAATAGTTATTTAGAAGTTTGTTAATTTAATTAATAAAAAAAAAAGAAATAAAGAATTAAATATTTTTAAAGAATAATATTAATATGATAGAGAGAACCAAAAATTAATGGAGCATTAATTATGCAAGAAATTGGATTAAATAATCAAGTAATTTGTTTTATGAATCAAAATAAAATAATAGAAAGTTTACTTAAAGGGTTATATGATAAAAATATTAATGCAAGAACTGAATCAGAAAAAGCATTAAGTATATTATTTAATTTATTTACATCAAAAGAATCAAATAATTTTGATCCAGAACCATTATATAAACAAGCAGTAATATATTTAAAACAAACTAATTCAGCAGATCTTCAACATGGAGCATTATTATTAATGGTAAGTTTATTAAGAAATTGTAAAGAATATATGAAACCTAAATATAATGAAGTATTACAAATGTTTTTAAATGTAAAAGAACATAAAATTATGGTTATTAGAAAAACTGTTATTACATCATTACCATATTTTGCAGAATTTGATTGTGAATCATTTGCACCAAAAAATAAAGAAGTTATAGAAAGTTTTCAAAAAGATAGAAAAAGTATTGCAGATTTTGCACAATTTGAACATGATGAATTAACAAAAATTAAATGTGAAGAACCATTTAATGGAATAATGAATTATTTAATTAATTCAATAAAATCATTTAATGATAAAAGTATTGTATTTACAGTTATTGGAGATATTACAAAAGAAATCAAATTTGAAATGTATGCATTTGTAGAACAAGTATATTCAAAAATGAGAGAAATAATTAATTCTAAAGAAAAAAAAGTAGAAATATTAAATTCAATAATGTATTGTATGGAACAATTTGTTATTAATATTCCAGTACCACGAGTTTTTGCATTAATTCATAAAACATTTCCAACATTATTAGAATTAGGATTATCAAAATCATTAGTATCATTAATTAATCAAAGTTGTACTATATATAATAATCCTACATATCGTCTTCAAACACAAAAATTATTATTAGATGTTATTTGTGGAATATTATTAGGAAAAGCATTTATTCCATTTGGTGCACCTGAACATTTAAAAATGTTTAATAGAAATATTATACCAACAGTAGAAGGAGAAGAACAAATAATATTAGCACTTAATACATTACATTCATTTAAATTTAAACATAATATTGTACCAGTAGTTAAAGAATGTATAATGAAATATATAGATAATGAAACTAAAAAAATACGTCAAGAAGCTGCAATGTTAACACAAGTACTTCTTCCACCAATAGATATAACAAAAAAATTTATTTCTACACTTGATGTTACAGAAGTATTAGAAAAATTACTTGATCATGGATTAAGTGATTCAGAAAGTGAAATTAGATTAACAATAATGAAATTATTAGATGAACGATTTGATAGTTTTCTTGCACAATCAAAAAATATTCAAACACTTTTTGTTATTTTAAATGATGAAAATTTAAAAGTTAGAGAATATGCTATTAAAATTATAGGAAGATTAACACATTATAATCCAGCATTTGTTATGCCATTATTTAGAAAAACTATTATTAGGTTATTAACAGAATTACAATTTATTAACGATCTTAAAACAGATGAACAAGTAACTCTTTTAATGGGACAATTAGTTAAATCATCAGGTAAATTAACTAAACCATATGTTGAACCATTATTAAATATTTTATTACCAAAATTAGAAGAATCAATAAATAAATCACATAGTACAATATGTATTTATATATTAAATATAATTGGAGATTTAACAACAATTGGAAATGATAATAATAATAATAATCAATATACACAAGGATTAATGAAATGTATAATTAGTGTATTACAAGATAAAGGAAATTCACAAAAGAAAAGTCTTAGAAGAGAATCAGCATTAATTGCATTAGGAAAATTAGTAAGAAGTATTGGATATGTTGTACAACCATATTATGATTATCCAGAATTACTTGGATTATTAATTGAAGTTGCAAGTAATGAAAGAAATCAAGATATTAAAATAGAATTAATAAAAGTATTTGGAATTATTGGAGCAATTGATCCATATAAATATAAATTATTAACAGAAACAGAAGGAGTAAATCAAAATGATGATTCAGAAACAGTTGAATCATTATTACCTAATTCACAAATAGGAACAGAAGAATTTTATGCAATGACAGTAATTGGATTATTACTTAATATTTTAAGAGATAATAATCTTGTTTCTGGACATGAACAAACAGTAAAAACATTTGTTAAAGTTATTTGTTATTTAAATAGAAAAACATTACCATATATTCCACAAATTTTATCATTATATTTAAAATTATTTAAAACATGTACTATTAATGTAAGACCAGCATTAATTAAAGGATTAGCTGATATTATGTATCTTATTGAAAAAAATATTAGAGAATATCTTCCAGAAATATTTATATTAATTCAAGAATGTTGGGATGATAATACAGTATTACCAATATTACAATTAGTTTGTGAAATTGCTAAAGTAATGCATGATGAATTTAAACAATATATGCCTCAAATGCTTTCATTAATTATATCAGAATTAAATAAATATGTATTTGAACAAAATAGTTTAATATTTGAAAAAATTATTAATTCTATTGTTATATTAGCTGAACATATTGATTTTGAAGATTATCTTCATTTAGTTATTCCAAGTATTAGTGATCTTGTTAATGAACAAGTTCATGTAAGTATTGTTCTTCCTACTTTAAAAGCTTTATATAAATTTTTACAATATGTTAATGCAGAAGAATTTATTAGTCGATTAGTTCTTCCATTAACTAGATTATTACAAAATGAAATTTTAAGAGATACAACTATGGATGTTTTTTGTAGTATAGCAGATAATCTTGGTAAAAGATTTTTAGTTTATGCACCAACAATTAAATTTGCATTAAATAAATATTGTCCAAAATATATTAATCAAAGATATGAAACATTAACAATAAAACTTCAAGATATACCTGATGGACTTGTATTACCAATAGATGAAAATGAAGGACAAAATGTTACAATATCAGAAGATCTTCATACACAAGTTACAAACTTTAATCAAGATACAACAATTAAACCAAATGCAGATATAATTAAAGTAATTGCAGTTTGGGAAACATATAGACAAAGAAGAAGTAAAGAAGATTGGTTTGATTGGTTTAGACAAATTGCTATGGTATTTTTAAAAGAAAGTCCAAGTCAATCATTATGTTATTGTCATTTATTATCAACAGACCATTTTCCATTAGCAAGAGATTTATTTAATTATGCATTTTTATCAATGTGGCAAGATTCAACAGATAATTCACAAAGATTAACTAAATGTTTAATAAAAGTATTAGAAAATAATAATACTCCACATGAAATTATTCAAACAATATTAAATTTATGTGAATTTATGGAAAGAGAAGGAATTAAAGTTCCTATTAAATCACTTGGAGATTATTCAAAAAAATGTAATGCATATGCTAAAGCATTACATTATAAAGAACAAGAATTTATTGAAAATGCTAATATTAATTTAATTGAAGAACTTATTGGATTAAATAATCAATTACAAAATTATGATGCAGCTGCTGGATTAATTGAATATACTAAACAAATTAAACAAGTTCAAAATAATGATACAGAATTAAATCAAACATGGTATGAAAAATTAGGAAGATGGCAACAAGCATTAAATATTTATGAAAGAAAATTACAAGAAGATATTAATAATCCAGAACTTCTTGTTGGTAAATTAAATTGTTTACATGAAATTGGAGATTGGGAATCTCTTGATATAACAGCAAAAACATTATGGAAAATTGGAGATAAAAAATCAATATCAAGTGCAAGATCATTATATGCAGCAGCATTATGGTATTTAGATGATTGGAATGAATTTGATTCAATTGTTAGTGAAATGACTGAAAATAATTTTGAAAATAATTTCTTTAAAAGTATTAATTGTATTCATAATGAAGAATTTGAAAAAGCTAAAAATCTTATTAATCAACAAAGAATTGCATTAGATACAGAATTAAGTTCATTAGTTGGTGAAGTATATGAAAGATCATATTCTACTATTGCTAAAGCACAAATGTTAGCAGAATTAGAAGAAGTTATTGCATGTAAAGAAGGATTATATAATCAAGATGCTAAAAGTATTTTAAAATCAGCATGGAGTGAAAAATTAATAAATGCTAAAGCAGATGTAAGTATTTGGCAAAAATTATTAAAAATAAGAAGTTTTGTATTAACAGAAACAGAAAATAGTGAATCATGGATTAAATTTACAGGATTATGTTATAAAAATGGAAAATATAAATTAGCAATGAAAACTCTTGATAGATTAGCTGGAATTAATATTGAAAATCATCTTGAAGAATTACAACCAAGTAAACTTCGTATTGGAATTCAATATCTTAAATTACAATGGAAAGGAGCTAAAGATATTGAAGAAAAAAAGAAATTATTAAATATATTACAAAATTTTGCAAATATTATTGAAGAAAGAAGAGGAGATGATTTAAATTTAAAAGCAGTTGTTTGTTCAAAATTAGGTGAATGGAATTTATATATTGCACAAAATAGTAATTCATTTAATTATGAAACTATACCTAATATTTTAATGTATTATCATAGTACAATTCAATATGATCCTGAAAGTTATAAATATTGGCATCATTGGGCATTAATTAATTTTGAAATTGTTTCATATATTGAATTAGATGAAAATTATAATGAAGAAGTATTAGTAGATTATCTTAAAGTTAGTATTGAAGCATTTGTAAAATCACTTATTTTAACTAAAAATAATCAAACTTTACAAGATACTCTTAGACTTTTAACTATTTTATTTAAATATGGAAAATATCAAGAAGTAGAAGAAGCTATTATTGAAGGTATTCGTGCTCTTCCTGTAGATATTTGGTTACATGTTATTCCACAAATTATTGCACGTATTCAATCAAATGTACCTGCTGTTAAAAGAGTAATGACAGATTTATTAACTACTATTGGTAAAAAACATCCACAAGCACTTGTTTATCCATTAACTGTTGCATCTAAATCACCTTCATATGATAGAAGAAAAACTGCTATGTCTGTTATTGAAAAAATTAGAACAGATTCTGGACATCTTGTTGAACAAGCATTACTTGTTAGTGAAGAACTTGTTCGTATTGCTATTTTATGGCATGAAGCATGGCATGAAGCACTTGAAGAAGCATCAAAAGAATTTTATGTTAATCATTCATTTGATGGAATGATGGCAATTTTACAACCATTATATGATAGATTAGAAAAAGGTGGTGAAACACAAAATGAAAGAGGATTTTTACAATCTTATGGAAAAGATCTTAGAGATGCATTTGAACTTTGTATAAGATTTAAAAATAAAGGAAAAAGAGTATCAGAAAAAGATCATGATATAGAAGGTGCTTGGGAAATTTTCTTTAGAATTTATAAAAGAATTCATAAATCTATTAATGCTGTTGCTGTATTAGAATTACCTCATGTTTCACCTAGATTAATGGAAGCTCATGATCTTGATATTGCAGTACCTGGAACATATAAAGCACAAAATGTTAATAATATTATTAGAATTAAATCTATTATACCAGTTCTTAATATTATTCCATCTAAACAAAGACCAAGAAAACTTACAATTATTGGATCAAATGGAAAAGAATATAAATATTGTTTAAAAGGACATGAAGATTTAAGACAAGATGAACGTGTTATGCAATTATTTGGTTTAGTTAATGATTTATTAGCAAGTAATTCTATTACTTCTACACATCATTTATTTATTACTTGTTATGATGTTATTCCATTAAGTACAATGAGTGGATTAATTGGTTGGGTACCTCATAGTGATACATTACATCAATTAATAAAAGAATATAGAGAATGTCATAATATTCCAGTTGATTTTGAAAAAAGATTAATAAATAAATTATGTCCTAGATTTGATGATCTTCCATTTTTACAAAAAGTTGAAGTCTTTGAAAGAGTTTTAGCTGAATCTTCTGGAATGGATTTAGCAAATATTTTATGGTTAAAAAGTTCTTCTTCAGAATCTTGGATTGATAGAAGAACTAATTTTACTAGAAGTGTTGCTTTAATGTCAATGGTTGGTTATATTCTTGGTCTTGGTGATAGACATCCTTCTAATCTAATGTTACAACGTTTTACTGGAAATGTTGTTCATATTGATTTTGGTGATTGTTTTGAAGTTGCTATTCATCGTGAAAAATTCCCTGAAAAAATTCCTTTTAGATTAACTAGAATGATTGTTAATGCTATGGATGTTAGTGGTGTAGAAGGTACTTTTAGAATTACTTGTGAAAATGTTATGACAGTTTTAAGAGAAAATAAAGATAGTTTAATGGCTGTTTTAGAAGCATTTGTATATGATCCTTTAATTGTTAGATTACTTGGTGGTAAGGATGTTGATGATGACGATGATAAAATGAATAAAGAAAATCAAGGTGAAAATTATGTCATGAAATCTAAAGCTGTTTCTGTAATGAGAAGAGTATTAGAAAAATTAACTGGAAAAGATTTTGGAAATGAAGAATTAAATGTTCATGATCAAGTAGATAGATTGATTAGAGAAGCAACCTCAAATGAAAATCTTAGTCAATCATATCAAGGATGGTGTCCATATTGGTAATCTCACTTATCGAAAGAATCTATGAATTTTGTTTTAATTAAACACAATTTTTATTTCCTTTTTTTTTCTTTTCTTTCTTTTTTTTTTTAATTTAAATTAAATATTAAAATGAATATTAAAATATTTATTATTTTAAAGTTCTTATAGAATACAATCATATTATTCTTTTCTCTATTCCTTTAAAATACTTTTTTATTCTCGAGAAATTTTGACAGGTAAATTGCTATCAATTCAACTAACACGTTTCTCTTGACCTATTTTTCTTCTTTCTCTTTCTTTCAATTGAATTTTATTATTTCTTAATTTATTATTATGGTATTTCTATTCAAAAAAACAAAAATTATTCTTTTTTATTATTTCTTAATTAAAAACCTTCACTCACCAATCTACAACATCATTAAAATCTTCTTTTCTCTTTTGAATAATTTTCTTATTCACTTCTGCAAAATATTTCTTTTCAAACCCATTCCCTCTATCAACTCCATCCCACTTATAATCTGGTGCAATTCCAAACCTATTTTGTGGAAATTTCCCTTGGTACTTTGGTCTTTGCTTTGTACTATTTTCTTTCTTCCCCTCCTTTGTCTCATTCATTTCTTGTGCTTTTTCTTCAATTCCTTTCTTTATTTCTTTTTCTTTTCTTTTTTTAAACAATTGTCTCATCGGATCACCAAATCGTTGTTTCTCTCTATAAATCTTATCTCGTTCATCTTCTCTTGTCTTGAAAGGTTTATATTTTCCCTTAAACCAAACGTGATCTTTGTAGTTCTTTTACAATGAGTAAAACATTTAAAGAAACATATTTTATTCAATTATTCTTCATAATTATCCATATGTGTTTCATAACGAACTTTTGATGCACAATTCATATATTCTTGGTAACTTAATTTATCTTCTTGTTCTTTATGAAACTCTTTACACACTTCATTAATTTGTTCTTTTGTTAATTTATTGTTAATAGCGATGAACATTTGGTGGACTTGTTCTATTTGAACAAAACCATTTGAATTACACTTTTTAAAAAGGATTGAATATTCATCTTCATCGTCTTGGTTTTTGACATAAAAGTGAACTAACTCAATAAATTGTTTTAAATCAATATGATTATTTTTTTGAGTATCAGTGATTTTAAACAAAGCCTTTGCAGCATCAAAAGACGCTTCAGGAATGAACTGGCAAAGTCCAGCATAATATTCGCTAATATCAATATGCCCAGTATGTTCTTCATCAAGTTCGTTGAAGACAGCAGTGATTAATTGTTCTGTGTCAATCATCACAAATTATTGTTTTTTTTTAGTTTCTTTTTTGTTTTTTATTTTCTAGATACTTTATTTTTATTTTGGGAAAATGTATTTATGAATTTATCCATTTTCTGTGAGTTAAACAAATATAGCCTTTGCGTAAACCAATTTTTAGAAGTATGTCGAATATATTAAATGATAACCTCTTTTAAGTTGTATAATAAATAGAAGAAGTCCTTACTAACTTCTGATTGTTCTTAGAAAAAAGATTATATTTTTACTTTTACAAAAAAAAATTAATCAAAAACAATTATCTAAATAATTTGGTAAGTATTTCATTTTTAACTCACTCAAACAACAGAAATCTTTCATTTTAATGAAAATGTTATTTTGATATAACAATCTTCTATATACTTTTTTCTAATAATTCTGTTTTATGACTCGCTAAATTAATCTAAAAATTACTTAAAATGAATGTATTTGGTCCTTTCTTTATAAACACTAATATCTTAATATTTAAATCTAAATAAGTAATTGTGTTTGTTCCTACATAAATATATCTGTTTTAAATATTTAATATCAAATACATTCTTTTTTTTTCTTTTTACTCATCGAAATAATCACTTGTTATGTTGTGCTCATTTCTTAGTTGATATGACATTTCTTTTATTGTTTAAGATGAGGAAGGAGTAAAATAATACCAAAAACATAAAATACAAAACAATAAAAACATAAAGCACAAAACAAATAATATTGTTATAAAAAAAGGAAAAGAAGAAGTTAAAAAAAAAGTAATTAAATAAATAGAATTTGTTTTTGATAGAAAAAAACCCTACAAATTTTTTAGTTCAGAAGTTAATTCCTTCAAAATGAGTCAAGATAGACATGCTAAAGATACTCTTGATCGTATCGCTGTAATTAATGATAGATGTAAACCAGGAAAGTGCAGATTAGAATGTAAAAAGACATGTCCAATTAATAGAGCAGGAGGACTTTGTATTGAAGTACTTCCAAAAGATAAACGAGCAGTTATTTCAGAGACGTTATGTATTGGATGTGCCTTATGTGTAAAAAAATGTCCATTTGAAGCAATTAAAATCATTAATCTTCCAAAGAATTTAGAACAATGTACTACTCATCGTTATGGACCAAACTCATTTAAATTACATAGATTACCAATGCCAAGACCTGGACAAATTCTTGGATTAGTAGGTACTAATGGTATTGGTAAATCTACAGCATTGAAGATTTTAGCAGCATCTATTAAACCAAATCTTGGACAATATAAAAATCCACCTTCATGGGCTGAAATTATTAAATATTATAGAGGAAGTGATTTACAAAATTACTTTAAGAAACTTCTTGATGATCAATTTAAAGCAGAAATGAAAATTCAATATGTTGATAGTGTTCCACGAACTGTTAATTCTATTAAATCAGTTGGAGAAATTCTTCATGCATTAGATGAAAGAAATGCATTTGATG